CCAGCTGCTGACAGCATGATTGCGAACAGGCTGGACTTGCAGGTACTACAGAACACCCAAGAGGCTGTCTAGTGCATAGCCTCAACAGTTAAGAGCAAAGCTTACAACACAGTGAACCTTTAAAATATTGATCTTATTCACCTGTAATATTCTGCAAAAACACAAGGGGAATATTTCTCTGGCAACACAGCTGGATAAAATGCGCACCCTGTGGAGAGGAAAGAAAAAACAAATAAAAGAGTAAGACATTAAAAGTTGGACAAGTGAAGCTATCCCTACCAGCACTCTGCAGTCTGTGATAAGTCCTTCCACTGAAGTCCATGGGAGTATTTGCATCATGAAGTGCTATACTACTTAGGCTTCATCCTAAGCCAACTGCAAAACATGCATTCACTCTAGCGTAAGTAAGAAAATGCCAAAACCGCATTAGCACATGGGTAAAGCAGAAATAACACCCCGAAAAGCATTACTACTGATACTGAAAAGCTCAAGTGGTTTGACTCTGTCAGTATGTAGTTAAACCACAGACAGATTCACAGGGTGGCATCTGACATCGAGTTTTGTAAGACTGTCATAGAAATTAAGACAGCCGGTCTGAAAAACATAGCTCCTCATTTCCTATACAAAACAAAAGTGTTCTCTGGCACTGGGCAAGGCTCACATACAGTATTTGCTCATGGCCCTGCCAATTGCTGTACATTCTCTCCTTCTTCTGAGGGCACATGCTCTTTCCCCGTTTTCTAGGAAAAGACCAATTTCCTAGCAAAGTTACAAACAGTAGATTCCAAGCTTCTGTTTCAACTAGAAATATTGTAAATCAATGAAGTTCCTCAGGTTATTTATACACTGCTAGTAAACAAAGCAAAACAAAAAAAGGTTACATAGTAAATTGCTGTACATTCTCTCCTTCTTCTGAGGGCACATGCTCTTTCCCCGTTTTCTAGGAAAAGACCAATTTCCTAGCAAAGTTACAAACAGTAGATTCCAAGCTTCTGTTTCAACTAGAAATATTGTAAATCAATGAAGTTCCTCAGGTTATTTATACACTGCTAGTAAACAAAGCAAAACAAAAAAAGGTTACATAGTACAGCGACTGAGAACTAACCTTTTTTTTACATAAAACCAGCAAAGGTTATGAAAAGAAAAAAGAGATAAAAATCACAAAGCATAATCTATAGCTAGCTTTTTCAGAGAAGCACATGAATAGCATAATGATGATCACAGGAAAAACATGTCAAAACTCATTACAAAAATGCAAAAGGAGACAAAGGGAATATTGTCAGATTACGATGGCTATAAAAGCAACATCATGGACAAAGGTTTCTCTAGAAGTGAAACAAGTGAAACTTGACGATCTCCTTTCACAGTACTGACATGCCAGCAGAAGTCAGCAGGCAAAGATTCCTTACAATTTTTTTCATTGTTAGGAAAAAAAGTTGTAGCGCTTAATAGAAATTAGAAGATTATTAGAGAAATATCGCAAGTATTAGAAATACTGAAAGTTGATTTCTACTTGGAAATAACTGTGTTAAGACAAATGTTAGGTGAAAACAATGTCATTTAAGGCAGTGCTCCAAGTTGGAAGTATTCATTCAGTACATGAAACTCGATTTCATGTATGATTTTATTACAGTAATAAATCAAGTAAAATTACTTCCTTTCTTCACACCTCTCACCAATGCTTTCTTTTTGCTATAGATTCTCTATACTGATTTCCTCACCATTAGTTTGAGAAGCCTGCTAGAACAGAACTAACATTTATAACAGCTATACAAGAAATTCTGACAGTCTTCTCTTGAAAAAATAAAGAACTACAGCAAACAACACAGAACAAGGTAAGCAACAATTCTGCAGAAACTCTTTATCACCATCAATCCCCCAAGTCCAATCTGTAAAGCACTGTTCATTGAAATACAATCACAATATTTCTTCAGGTATGCCCTCTCATTCACAAAACAGGTATTTTTGCTCACAGATGTTACAAGACCACAAAGTCTTCACTTTTTACTCTAAGACAGGAGATGCTGCAGCAAAGTATGAAATTTAAAACTCCGGTAAACCAATGAACTGAGTACTGGAAACCAGGTTTGAAATTTTCGAGTTAATGCAAAAACAATTATGTGATTTACTGTACTACTTCACAGTTTAGAGGTCAGAAATAGCAAGAGGTTATTTGATGCAATCACTATGGAGTTGTCTTGTAACAGCTTTAAGCTTCAGGATATATAATTTCAACTGTGCTGTGTTCACACAAATTAAATGCTGTTCTTCTATTGACCTATCTGCTTCACATCAGAAAAATGTACAGAACACTGCTTCTAAAATATGGTCAATTGCTTTTACAGCTTATTAACCAGTTTCACATTTACATGAAAAATGTGGAGCCAATTCCCTTTAAAAAAGCATCTAATTTCAAGAGCAAACAAGTTAATAATGTATCTGTTTACCTTTTTTGCTGACTCTGAGAAAAGAACTCCATTGTTTCCAATAATTCCTACTGGATAACCAAAAATTCTTGCAAACCCTAAAGGAGAAAGATTCATTTGTAAATTTCCACACATATTTCTCTTGCACATAAAGGTAAAGACTTCTCTTGATGAGAGAAAGTGCTATTCTTCTGAACATAGACATTATTAAAAATAAAAAAGGGTGACCCAAAAGGAATGAATCCAGCTATAAAACCAGTGGGAACATACAGAATAATTATGATGTATTTCTAAATACCTGTAATTAAAGTATCCCCATACAAGGCTTTGAATTCATCAAATCTACTTCCGTCTACAATTCTAGCAATGACCTTAAGAAAAAAATGGAAAAATTAAATTAAATTCCTAATCCTTCATAGTTTTAAATTTGTTTAGAAAGAAAGACCATGCTAGCATATAACTTTAAATAAATTATTTTTGTTAGAGAACGTCCATCAGCCCACCATATAAACCATCTGGATGGCAGGAAAATTATCTACATTTGTAAAATCATCTACATTTGTAAAAAAAGGAATTTTAATATTAAGAATATTCTAACTAAATAGTTACATTATACAGGAACAAAGTTTTCCTGATTAGATGAATTTCAAAGAACAACTGCTACCTCTGGTTATATTAAACATTAACCAACAGATTCTCATTTATAGAGAGTAAAACACATAGAGCCATAAGTCATTTACTTAGAGATGAGATTATTTTAATCTTTGCTTAAGTTTGTGACATAAAAAAATAATTAATATCTGATCTGAGGTTTCTCTGAGATGCAAAGGAATCATTCTTTATAAACATAGAAAGATATTTGCCAGCACATAATTATTTCAACTTTAACATAATATAAGTCCAAACTATTCCAACTTTTGAGAGAGTAGTGTGAGGCCTACTAGTAAGTGTTCATCTTATTCATTACATTTTAATGCAAAGCAAATACAAGTAATTTCTGCCAAATGTTTTAAAGAGGTACATACTAAGACTTCCTGAAGTACTTATTTGGCTGGTAGGGAGAAAGGCACTGGATATGGGACCTACACAAAATATGAGAAAGGATGTGCGTGCAGATGGAGGTACAAGACAGACAATTACATGAGAACCGCAGTGGAGTTCAATAGTCTCCATATATGTCTGGGAGAACACTCAATTGTTTGGCATCCTTATACTCCATAAGTCTTAAATATTTGATCTTTACTTTCACAGGATTAACTGCAAAAGAAAGCCACCCTATCACTCAGCAGGTCTACAGAATGCTTTGCCAGGGCAGAATTCCCATTCCTGCCAACTTTTTCAGAATCCTACCAATCTCTCATCCCTGTTCATCCTTTGTAACAGCATAACCAAAAAGTATTATATTTCCAACAGGTGATTGCCATCGCAATGGATCCACTGCACAAAAACACTCAATTCATACATTACCAACTATGATAACATAAAGTGATTTCCTTCACAAAAACCGGGTACATGCACATATGGGCATGTGGATCTTGGGTTAACACTCACCTCTTTGACATCAAAGTTTCTTTTTAGCTGGTCCCCAACTATTCCATATATTTCATCAGAAGGAAAAAGGCTCTTCTGATGGTTCCAGAGTCACCTATAGCAAGTTAATGAAACAGTTTACACAACAAAGGAATTATTAGTCCACATTATGACTTAAAAATCCATCCAACAATTAATTTGCCAGCTTCTTTGAGCACAGACTTCTTTTCATCAGCTGTATCAAAATGCCTGTACTGGCTTGTCCTCATGTGGATAAAGATCAAGTTTCTTAAACTGAAGGCTGATAACCCTTTCTCACTTACTGTTACCATTTTTTGCTCCTGCATATACCTTCACAGGAGCTCCACTTCTTCCACGGTATAAAAAAATAAAGCATATCTTCCCATTTGCTTACTTTCCCCCTGTGCCCTGTAGGGCACGCAGCATTCTGAAAAACTGGTGAAGATTTTTATCACACAGCTGAATACAACATCTTGCCTTCCTTCAGCTGTCCATTCCTCCTCTCACGTCTCCTACTAAAATAAATAAAATGGGGCAATTCCTTCCCCATATGTTATCCATCCCATTTTCTACACAGAATTTTAACATCAATACAGTACAATGACATGATTTAGGTCTATCCCCTCAGCTTCATACTTTTCATTAATAATCATAGAAAATGTCTACTCAAAAAGATGCTTTAGCAGGTATCTAATTTTAAGTACACAGAAATGATTGTGTGGATTTAAAATTAAATTAAGCGTCTTGCAAGACAGGGTTAATTTTAAAGCACTGTGACTCTGAAGCACTCTCCTAGTTGCTTCACTCTTGCATTTAATTCCAGTGATTTTACTGGGAATAATAGAGCAGGAATCTAATTTCAGAACTAAAACATTAGAGAAATCTTCAAGGACAAGAACCATAGTTTCCGTTTTCAAGTTGTCTGAAGTCATAGACAAAAAATGTGTTTTATCTAAGAACAGCATTCCTAATTTCAACATGTGCAATGCTTTCAGATTCTATACACTTACGTCTATTTTCTTTTGGAGATTTAAACTTCTTACGACTTTCCTTGCTAGATGAAGTGCATGATTGTCGTCCAACGCATAATGATCTGTTACACCAGATTTTCTGTATATAAACAACAGCAATATGAACACTTGGAAAAAAAACACAAATCTGCCAATGAAAACTTGAAGTTGTATAGCCTCTAAGACCTTAAAATTTTTCTTTTCATATTTAAAATACAGATCCTACAATACAGCTCTTGACATTCTTTTATGAAATTACTTTGAAAATAAAACCCATGCCTGTCCTGTTCTTTGAAATGGTACATTCAAGTGATCAGACATGACATAAAAAAACAACTTCAGGAAGCAAAAAACCTAAATGACAATATAAAATATAACAAGCATTGTTCAAATGAACCAAAAATTAATTTGGAATTACAAAGAAAAACATGTTTACAAAAATGGCATGAACTACCCTTTAAAGGAATTCTTTATTCACTTCAGTAAATTGAAGTCAAAATTAAGCATTTATTCTACAGCAGTACCTAACTTACTGTGCACTAATACCTCATTTTGTTTACTATTCATTTTAGAACTTGAAAGTGCATAGAAGTTTTTGTTTTGATAACAAGTATTTGATAACAAGTATTCTCTTACAAAACACACAAGCTATTTTGATCCTGCTTTTAGCAAGTTCTAACCAACAGTAAGAAAGATGCAATGGGCAAAATCTAGGTTTTCCTCAACACGCATTACTCTATTAACACTCAGCACTAAATAGTGAAGTCCTCCACATTATGCATGACGCTGCAGTATGTGTTTACTTTCAAAATATAAATACAGTTTAAAAAACATCTTAAACCAAACCAAACTAAACTAAACTAAATGCTTAAGTTTAAAAGATGGAAGAAATTAACCCGGGAAAATATTTCTTTAAACCTGCAGTGAAGATCTGCCCCTCCAAGATCCTCTGCTGACACCTCTTCACCTGTGGCTGCTTTAACCTAACGCAAAAAAAGGAAAATGAGATTCAGAGTTGACACTTGTCCTGCATTAATATTTACACTGGCTTAGCTACAGTAATAAAAGAGATCTTTGCAAAATGCTTCTTCATTAATAATACTTCCTCAGTTACTCTCCTTCAGAGAATTCACAATGTGACAACACAGAATCTTGTCAGAATTACTTAACTTCTTTGACTTTGTATCCTTTAATGTAACTTTAATGTAATTAACTACATTAATATGTAGTTTTTATTGACAAAGACTCTCCACTGCTGTATTTACTGTTGTGTCCATTATTAACATGAATATACCCATACATCCTTTAGATTCATAAATGTGCATTTTCACAAAAATTTTCTTACCATGTGATACTTCCTTGCATTGTTTCAAACAAACAATGCCTCAGCTAAACTTAGCATTCTTCAGTTTTGCTTTCTCTACATAAACTCTTACAAGAATTTTAACTTACATCTTTAAATATTAACCATAAAACAATCAGTAGCAGTTTTTATTTTCTAAACCTTACAGCAAACACATATTAATTTAGTAATAATAATTTTCTTTAAGAGAGTATGTCAGTGGCATTTAACTGTTCAGATCAAGTATGATGTCTCCACAGAAGTACCCGAAATGCACAATCTGTGCATAGACCTGTGAAACCTTAGACCTGACAGGGAAATCTGAGAGTGGATGATCTCCTTCTTAAAACCAAGTGATATCATTTACTGCACACTTAAAAAAACCCCAGAAGACTTCTTGATGCATTTCCACTCTACAGCAGCTGCTTTGAAAAGGTCTCCTCGTAAGCTGGTGAAACCATTATTCATCACCCATGGAGAGTAAAGAGGTATAGTATGAGACAAGAGAAGGGAAAACAGATTTCAGTTTCTAAGATTCATGTCTAAAAATGAAGCACATTAAACATATTTTAAAAAAAAATTTAAAAATAATTAAAAATAATACATGTATTTTCCCACCCACATACACTTCCAAACTGTCAAGTTTCCAAAATTAAGTACAGATATTTCTTCAGTAGCAGGATTTTTGCTTTGACATTTGAATTACCCATGCAATGTGAAGGTGTGGCATTCTGATACTAATTAATGGAACATTTCTGTCAGAGACATAATTAACTTGAGTCTTCATTAAACAACGAACAGAAGAACATAACTCTTTAGAGAAATCAGGAAGACTTGCTCACTGCAAAGGTTATGCAGCATTGGAACAGGCTGCCCAGGGAAGTGACTGATTTGCCATCCCTGGAGGTATTTAAATGCATGCAGATGTGGCACTTAGGGACATGGTTCAGTGGTGGACTTGGCAGTGTTAGGTTAACAGACAGATTTGATATCTTAAGGGTATATTCTAACATAAGTGATTCTATGATTTGAACATATGATATTAATCTATGATTCCATGAAATAATTATGTACGTCCCTCTTCATGTGACCAACATCTTCTAATTACTTCTAATTACTGCAGAATTTGCGACGAACCTGAATAGAGCACTGATTTCTATTAGCACAGAAATCCAGAGACAAATTTTTAAAAATTTTACAAAAATGGCTTTTTTACTTTTCCACAGAGGTGAAGTTTTCCATCTCCAACTCATAGAATCGGAGCTGTGGGCTCCATCAGCCACTCTGTGAGATTATCAAGTTTAACTCACCTGCTCAAAGCACGGCCAACCAGAGAAGGTTGCCAATGACCATGTAATGACAACGAGTTTTGAATATCTCAAGGACGGAGACTCCACAACCTCTCTGGACAACTTGGCTTAGCGTGATTACCCTTGCAGTAAAGAAGGGTTTTCTTATGTCTAAACACAACCTCTTGTGTTTCGGTTTGTGCTCTGTATCCTCTGGACCTATCACTGGGCACCAGTAAGAAGTCTGGCTCTACTATCTTTATTCTCCCCTGCAAGGTATTCATACACATTGGATAGATTCACCCTAAGCCATCCTTTCACCAGACTGAAAAGTCTCAGCTCTCTCAGACTTTCCTCAGTTCACAGAAGCTCCAGTCTCTTCCATCATCTTTGTGGACATTCACTGGCTCACTCAAGCATGTCCATGTCTCTTGTGGTCTGGAGGGCTGGAACCAGCAGCCCAAATGTATCTCATGCGGGCTGAGGTGATGGGAAGGATTATTTGCTCCATCACCTTCCCAGAGAGGGCAGTGCAACAGAACATACTACAAACCATAGTTTAAGTAAGGGTTAAAATTATTTAAAGTCAATGGTTAAAGTTATCTTAAAGTTCATTAAATTCTAACAGACTGCAAGTAAGAGCCTTGACAAGATATGTAGGCATTTTCAGAGAAATCACTGTTTAAGATAACTCAGCCAACAATTATCAGAAGAAATAACATAAACTTTAGATTATAATGTGCACTTCCTACAAAATATGAGGCTGGTATGTAGAAAAGTCTCCTGTACCTAAATAGATATTAATTTGACAAACTTATTCTCGCTTTTCTTCACCCCTGACCACAGAAATTGGCAGACCTTCCCCCAGGAAGGAAAAATCCTAAGTTTCTGGAACTGGATGGAGAAGCCTATAGACCTACACAGCATCCAGAGCTACCAAGCACTACTGTCAAAATGAGGATATAGATAGCTCAGCTTGGGGAAGTGCAGAACAATGGTCCAAAACATTATTACTACAATGACACCTCCTATTATTGAGATCTGTTTATGAAGTCATTACTCCTCACCTTTCTAAAAAGAAGGCCAAAGAAACTTTCATTTGAGATGACAGGCTGTACCTACAATTCCTGTTTTCTTAATCATACAAATCCCAAGACTACTTATAACTAACATCAGGGGTATTCTTTCACTTCCTTAGGATGTTTTGTTTTAGGCAGGTAAGGGATAAAATCCAATCCAATTTTCTTTTTATAGTAAAGACATTTTAGGGAACAGAGCTTACACAATAATGGCTACAATGTCTGTTACAGCATAGAATGGAAGTTTCTATGGGAGTCTAAAGTAATTTTTATGCTTAGAAAAAGGCAAGTAAAATATCTTCAGTGAGAATATCAAAAGCTCTACAAAACAGAAAAGTTGACAGGTAGTGATATTAAAGTTTGATCTATACGCACAAAGATAAGGATCATTACATCCGCACGTTGCTAAGGAACAAATTAAATTGGAGAATAGTTGCAAAATCTTCCTCTGAAAATGGTGAAAAGTTTTCAACATTTCTAACTTCATAACATCCTTGCAGTCACTGACTTGCCTAGTCAAATCTTCCCTTTGAGGCCTGACTCAGATCATCCTTTTTCAACTGCCTATCCTGGCAGAAGTCTCATGCACTACATCTCAAGGATACATGTATATGATATACATTTCCTCGTGATCTTAAATGACTGCCATCCTAGTAGAACAAGAGTTTGGTTCCCCTTTTTTTCAGCTTCCTAGTCAGCTTCCTGGGTAGTGCTGGGTATTAGCTATCTTATTTTGTACTTGCTTAATGCTGGAGCTTGGAAAGGAACTGGCTTTGAGTTAGCTCTCCAGGACACATAGCGCACCCACAGGTTATCCCAGGACCTGATGAACACTTCCAGCTCTAACACAGCTCCAAACAGAATCACTCGGGGTCCCTAGCACTCCCCAGGAGTCTTGCCAATGGACACACCATGTCAGAAGAGCTACACATCCTCAGGTCCTCCAGGCTTACTAGCTGAGCTTCTGCAGCAAAGCAGAGGCAGTGTTCCCACTTTATATGCTACTGGCTCCAAGCTAATGAACTACACTGGATCTAGAAAAGGTTTGTACTTAGACAGCTCAGATGTTTCTGCAACCAGGACAGTTATTTCTAACACAATAACCAAGTTATTAACAGTCTGATATGAAAAGTTTGTTTCTTTCATCATACTTATTTTCTTATCTCAATAAAAAGATGTATGAATCACACAATGTTGCTCAACTAACATAATTCTCAACTAATGTCATGATTCATGTTTATGCCACTTTTCACTAAGAAACTCCAAATATCTAAATTTTAGTCATAAATGTACAGAAAATTAATTTTGAGAAGGATTTGTCTTTGTTTACCTACAAACTAGCTGAAAAAGACTAATACAAGACAAAAAGGAACAGAAACCTAGCTAAGACATTTTAAACAGTTACTGCCAAAGAAATTCCAATAGTCCTCTAACTAGCAATAAATACATTAGCATTACATAGTTGCTATTCAAAAATAGCTACAAAGCTGCTACTTTATCCGCCACAAAGCTGCTACGTTAGCTGCTTTTACAGATTACTCCAACAGCCTCCACTGAAACAATAAATTACTTCAAACAAAATGCTTTGTTTTTCTAGGGTAGACAACAAAGTATGCTTGTACTTAATAGACTGTGTCCAATGCTCCTGCTCTCCATGTGCCAGTTACAGTCTGAATGTATTTAAGATGTTCTGGAACAGTAAAGAGCATTTACCAGCCGCAGGAAAGAATCTCTGCACAAAGAATTAAAATTTAAATTTAAAAGAATTTTTAAAAAGAATTTAAAAGCCCTCTATATACTGAAGTTAGAAAGGAAAAGAAAAAAGGTATAAAATACCAAACCCATGTTTATCAACAAGATGACACAGCAGGGAAAAAAATTCACTCTAAAGTAAAGGAAAACTATGCAATGCAAAAAAAATGCGGGGAAAATGAGAGCAATGCAATACAAATAAACGCTAAATGAGATTACAGGAAAAGCTCTTCATGCTTTTAATGAAATGAACACAGTCATGCCTTAGGAACTGGTGAACAATTAAATCTGTCAGTGGTTGTCTTCCCCGAGTTTAATGGGACATGCTACTTTTCCCCAGTATCCTCAGAGGTGAAGGAAGTCACTTCCCCCAGGCTTAACCTCCTCAGTTATTGCAGGAATCAGTGGAGCACTATATTCATTAACACTGGTGTTACAATGTGATTTCTCCGCTGAGGCCTGTTCAAGTTGGAAGGACGCTGGAGCAGCACTTGATTTGAACCTGGCTTTGTCATAGGAAGCACACCTAAAAGTTCCCAAAAGATGGTAACCAAACCAGAACCACCATGCTGCCTCAGACCAGTTTGTACAATAGGACAAATATTTGACTATTTCAAAAAAGTAAGTTTATCCAGTCACGTTTCACTGAGGCTAAAATAGTTGTGATGGGTGATGCTCTAGCTGTTGGTTCTAGAACTAACATAACATTTACTACTGGAAATTCCTTTCTTCTCATAAAGCTTGTGTTAAGTAAAATAATCTTTGTCAGCAATGGTATAAAACTGAGCCTACACTAGAACATATAGCTGTTTCTAAAATAATAAACCCCACTCAAGCACTCTTTTTGGTTGACGTCAAGCTGCTGTACTTTTAAATCTGTCTTACGCTGCAATATTTTGCTGTCACTAATTCCACTACGAGTTCCACAACAAAGCATGTTGTAATTGACAGGACTTCTTCAGGTCAGTTTCCTTAGAAACAATTTCCTTACTAGGAAAGAAAGAAAATTATGACAAACTCCACCATAAGTGCATCTCCTTTGCCTGCAAACTGACATAAAATACAGTAGATCAGTCCTGCTTCTGAACTGCTCAGATCTTGACTTTGAGATATAATACACATGGTTGCAATTTTTTTTATTCCATGTCAAACCCAGAGACGGCATAACTGAATATAGAAGCTATTTTTATCATTTAACATAAGCATGGCAATCTAAAAGTGGTACTATAAAAACACCTTAACATAGTCTGATTTATATATACACCTCTAACAGACAGAAGATACTTAATTTAGGATATAAACATTCAGATATGCTTAAAATGCAAATTAATCTACGGAATATCTGGAAATACCTTATCAAGAAACGTTTCAATTGTTTAAGCTGTACAATTGCTGCAGAATTATTTTGGGGGGAGCTATGTCACCAGAAACTTCTGTATCCTTACCAGTGGTGGCCCTCCCAAGAATATTGTTCCCTGCTTGCCAACAATAATACTTTCATCAGCCATTGCAGGTACATATGCTCCTCCTGCGGTACAGGATCCCATTACTACTGCTATCTATTGGAAAACAAAAAACACAAGTTAATGAATTGTCCAACACTTAAAAACAGCAAATGCACAAGTTACTATCATGTATTGAAGTGATTTTCATATAGATCATACAGCACTGTAAGATTATTCTTGCCTGATAGAGCAAACTTTTTTGTTTAAGCTTTTCTTTACAAAATAGAGAGTCTCTCTAGTTTTCAACAGTCTTTCAGGCCACCCTGCTGGAAAATTCATATATGAAGTACCATGAGCTATGTGTACAGGGTATGTTTGAAGAGACACACATTCTAACATGAAATTTGTTTTTACTGATAAACAGTAAAAGGTTGAAACCTAGAAGTTGCTTTTAGTATTTATGCTTAAGTCAGAGCTTCAGTTCTTGCTTATTGGCATATTTTCACTAATGTTAACATCCTTCAACAAAAATTCCTCACATCTCATAGTGTGTAACTTCAGTTCCTCAACGGATCAGCTAATTAACTCTGTCCCTTCAAGCTGTGTTGAATATCTCATTATAGGCTTCAACACGAATAACCTCTGCTTCATCCTTTTGCCTAATTTTGAGAAGAACATCTACCCAATGAACATTTTCCACCAGTACTATCTGGGTGATATTTTTACAAAACTGAGTTGAGCCCAGATGATAAATACTCTAACAGTATAGGATCATGAACGTGAAGCATCTCACTGAACTTCTTCAGGGCAGCATCTCCAAAGACCTTTTCAAAACACTTGTGGAGTAGAAGAAAAGGAATACTCATATGAAAAAGGTAAACTGTAAGAAACACTTTCTTTCACAGCACACATTCATACACAAATAAAACCCTAAGAAAAACCCAGAAAATAATGCTATTTTATGTTGTTTCAAGATATTTCTAAAGTGACATCAAGTAGTGTTAAGTGATAATTTAGTATTTGCTCTTTAAAAAACTCAGCACGCAGAAAAATAAAACTTCCAAATCACATTTCCCATATCTAAATCAGCAGATGAATTATGTCAACCTGATATGACAAATCCAACAGCTTTTTCAGCAAACAATTATCAGTATCTTAAACTATTTTCACAGTCATATGATTAATCTGCAGTATTTCTGTTGTCCATTTAATAAATAACTCCTGGTAAACACAAAGACAATATAAGCCTCTTTAAATGGGAGAAACTTAGGAAAAAAAAGTTTATTTTTCTTCCCAGATTTGTGTTTTTTTCCTAATCTTAATTTTACCATGCTCATGCTGAAAAATGTGCCTGCATTTAAACTTTAATTCAGGTGTTATTTTTACCAACATAAAAATTTGAGTATGTGTATGTTGGAAAAAAATAAAACCATGTGTGAAATAGCACAATCTCAAATTTCAAAATAGTATCCTACTCCCTGAATTCATTCTTTGAATTACTGGACAGGAAACTTTCCATGGGTGCAATAAAAATTAACAGTCCTGAGTGTCATATCTCATACCAATGGATCAGCTTCCGATTGTATCGATGCAGATTATGAGTGTGAGAGACCTTAGGCAGCAGCTAATGAGAAGCTAATCACAGCTTTCTGATTCACAGCCATACAGACAACAACGCAATTTAAACTTGTAGTAGGTGTGTAATAAATTAGTCACAGGTAAAAGTGGAGAGGGAAAGGAAAAGCTCCATCAGCAACTGGAAAATAAAGGAGAAAGAGCAAACACACTAAGTGCAAAATTGAGAAGAGCTGATGAACTGAGGAAACAGACCTTCAGGCAGGCCATAACACAGAACAGCAGGTAGAAAACTAACAACATCCAGGCTCCCATGTCAGAAGAATTAACCTGAGTAGAAATCAGAGAAGGCACAATTTCCTGACCCCACTTTCTAATGAAATATCCTCTCGGACAGGGAAGGCAGTTCTACTACCAAGATGTGTTAGCACAGAATTAACAGTAGATTTACAAATGTTAAGTGCTTTTTTGAAATAAAACTAAGGACAGATACATCTCCCAAACAAAATGCACCCTCATTACATCCTTTAAATAAAGCTAGTACTTCAGTAAAACATTTTTGCCAGTCTTCCATAAATATTTAAAGAAAGATGAAACTTTCATCAGTGTCATAACAGACAGACATGTTTTATAAAAAGGCAAATCCTTCTTACACTTAGGTTTTATTGTATATGAGCACAATTACTCCTAATACAACATTCGCCATAACTGAAAGCAAAACAAACTCAATTTTATAAGGGACTCTACAAATAGGTTAAATATGCTTCAATATATTAAGGAAGACACCAGCATGACTTCAGGGCTCGGCACTTCTATAAAGGTCCTGCCTAACATCAGTCATTTCAGCCTTGCAAACGGGTATACATATTCATCTTTGACATAACATCAAAAAATCACTGCTCCCAGAGGAGATCATGACTGAAGTCTATAGCAAAAATAAGGTTTACCAAAACTTCTTCTAAACAGATGATTCAGCAAAACATGACTGTGACCATCTCCTTTAACACTTGCTCTTCCACAAAAATACCAGGATAAATTCTATTCACACACATAAATGTAAAGTACAACCTAGACCTGTCAGTGACTCTGCAGGATGGGCAACTTGTAAACTGTCTTTTTTCCTAAATATTTTTGTGATAACGGAATACTGCTTTTCTATGGAGACTGACCTAATCACTCCAATTGCTCCACTTCTACTGCTGGAAGGAACTGCAGAAGGCAAATTGTATGAGACTTCCTAAAGAGATTTAGTGTGCTGGAATCTTCAGCCTTGAATTTTTCTGGAGGCAATGGATTTCAGCATTCTCTGGCAGAGGAAAAAATGGTTGAAGATTCGAAGTCTGACTTGCTTACAAAATATGTCCAAAAGATATCAAGGTAACAAACGTAGTTTCCTCAGAAATCCTGCAAAGCTAATGTGTGTCATGCAAGGAGTCAGATGGAATACTGTATCATTCACTGGTGCATCTGCTTCACTCTGAAAGGAAGTATTAACTTCTACTTCCTCCATTTGGATGAGGACACTCAAACAAGCACAGATTCTAACAGAAAATAAATAGAGAATAAATAAAAATGTTTCCAGCTGAACTTTGCCTTTCCATGACAGATACGGGTAGGAATGAAGAAAATGAAGAAAATAAAAGTCCAATTTCCACTTTACCTTACAAGTTCAACAGTCAAGTATGTCAAAACTATATAGTGGTGAAACACTTCCATGACAGTACTGAAATGAAACAGCAACTTAGCTAAGCATTTACTCCACTTGTTGTTCCAACACTATTTCTAAGCCTAATGTTCTAAACCAAATTTTCATATCAGGTAGAATATCCTGAAAATTTCTTTGACCTTCTTTCACCCATAGGCATTGACCTGACAACTTACCCCTAGCAGCAGATTCTCGAAATTAAGGTAATTTAGTGAAAACACCAAAAGAGAATATGTTTATATTATGCTATTTTATATATCCATTTGGTATATTGAGTAGTGCAGTCTGTCTCCATCTCAAAAAAGACACAAGATCTGGGAAAGAAGGTGAACTAGGACCATCAAAGGTATAGAGCACTTTCTGCAGAAAGAACAGCTAAGTTAGTTTTAATTTTTTGGCCTGCAAAATGGACTACGGAGCAGGTATATGAGGGGGCTATAAAACCATATGCAGAGGCTGACTGACTCAGCAGGTGACTGACTAGACACCAACTCTGTTGGAACAACCTGGTCCTTTGCTTTCCTGTAGAGGAGGTTATCTTCAAAGACCATGGGATTCTCCACCCTCCCTGGCAGCCTCTCACAGGTCCCTGCTGACAATTTCCTTACAGTCTTTATCCTGTTATCTGTCTTCCTCAATTCTATTGGGACCTTACACTCTGCCTCCCTGCCACTTTCATGGCAGCCAAGGTTGTCATCAGCAATCACATCCTCACACACTCTACATTCTCCATGAGTCATAGATCCAGAAGTGCACCTGCTCTAGCACACCACCTGCGTCAAAAAACTGATCTCAGTGTACCCCTGAAAGAACCATGACACAAACCCACTTCTAAATCCAGGAAATGTGACTAACAGTAATACCATGCACCATTAATGCATTAGAAAATAACCTCATTGTTAGGACAGTTTTATCATAAAGCACATCAGTGCATAAAATGTATCCAAATACACACATATCGCAATTAGTAGAAAGTATGTCTCAATTTCTAGCCATCATCAAGGGGGTCCTCACCTTTACAGTACCAATGCAGAATAATCAACTCTTCCAAGAGATTTCATATTCCTTCCTCAAACAGCCCTACACACCATGTTGTCAAGCCCTTGCTCTCCTACTCCAAAACAGGAGCAGATAGGTCAAGTCATTAACACTAAGACTAAGAAAGAAGACAGTTTCTACATAACTATAATGACTTCTTGTGGACAGTTACTGTGTTTATGCTGCTTCTAATCCCCAGACTGGGCCATGAGGTTAGCACAACTCAGTGCTGTCAAAAACAATGCATGGGTACAAGCCTTGAAAACAGATAATGGCAGCAAGCACACAAACTAATTAATACATTTAATTCTTAGGTAAAAACAAATTACCTGTGGAATTCCTTGTGATGACATGACTGCTTGGTTATAGAAAATACGGCCAAAATGATCTCGATCTGCAAATACTTCTGCTTGCCGAGGTAAATTTGCTCCTCCTGAATCAACTAGAGTAAGCAAAAATATATTAGCACATCTTTGAGCAGTGTTATATACCTAAGTTGTTGGTAAAGTATCTGCATGCTTCTGAAAATATACAGCAATTACCATCACTAACACTATGTGTATGTCCATTAATCTTGGTATATTAGGATATTCTTCTTGGAAAAAAAAAAAAAAAGAAAAATAGTAAACACAAAATAACATCCATCCCAATCATTTTCAGGGAAAATAAACCCAGATATGCCTAAAGATGTAATCATATCTCCCTATGCAAACTTCTAACCTCATCTTACTGCAAAACACTGAAACGAAGAACAATTTTAATGTACAATTTTAACTCAATTATTCTACTGCAATTCTGTCACAAGTTCCAGAAAAAGGTGACGCACACCACCACAGAGTTCAAAAGTGCACCACATGTACTTTCATACCTTGATTATACTTCATACAGAATACCTTGAACTATCTTTGGGAAGATTCATTTCTTGTGTGCCCTTGCCTCATGACATGCCCTCCAGCTTACAGGTCTGCAATGAAAGCTACCTCTCCACTCCCAATTAATGAAAATACATCCTGTCCTGAGATGTATCCAAAGGACAGAAGACTTGGGAGGAAATGCACAGGAGGCCAAGCATTTCCAGTAACTCTGGCTCCTTGTAATTAAGTCTTACCTACAAGCAACAGTCCATGTGCATATTCTCATGTTGCATGACCACAGCTAGTAATGCCCCACATTCACCATGAAGCAAGGTTTTGATTCTTACCCTCACCCTTGCAGAATCACTTTTCCAAACCATCTTCAACTCCAGCAAATAAACACACTCCAACCTGGTCAACACACCAGTGTTGTGCACTGGGTCATCCCTTAATACAAAAGAAAGTGCCCACACCAGTGACTGACTCAGTGACAAACGACACCAGGTGTCCACATTGGAATTCACACGTAGGCAGTAGCCACTGATGGAAAAGGCAGTTCAAACAGCATGAAAACCACATGGTCGGCAGAGTGCTGACTGAGTGCAAAGCATTCTCTCTTAACTGCACAGCTGACATGAACTGAAACAAGCCCACGTACAGAAACCACAAAGGTAAAATAACTCACCAGGTCTGAATGATGAACATTATACATACAGGGACTACGTATTTCGAAGATGGAATAAAAAACTAAACTTTTCATTTGAAGATGTATCTGTGTCGCACAGTTCCTCATTCCATAAGATCTTAAAACAGCATAATCACCCTTAATTGTTCACTGATAATTCAATAAAAAGTCTGCTGAACAGATAGAATTTATTGATAATTCAGACTAAATAACAGTTGTTCTGCAGCAGCAAAATGAAGTTTCTTCTGTTTTTTTAAACAAGATAAAATTTAGCCTTCCTCTTTCCTCCCAGACTCTTTCTACAGGAATCCCACCAAGTCTACACCCACACTGTCCCTGTATCCTCCTCACCAACAGTTTCACAGTTCACCTAATCCTTCTATTGGTATTATTTGCATGTTTGTCCAGCCAGCAGGGCAAAGAACTACGAAGGCTTATGCTAGCTAGGACCTACATTTATGTTGACTATTTAAGTAGTACAAGCACCCAGACTGGCAAACCAACTAATGCCCCTCAGCTGCTATGTAAGCTGCTAAACTAAGCTGAACAGACAAGGATTAACCCACCTTATATTTTTAACTGGAAACAGTGGAAGGGTCTTTTCCCCTCTCGTGCTGATATACACAATATTCACAGGAATACACACTTTCTTACTGCTCTCTGTCAAATTTGACCAAAATTGGCCAATAGGCTAGGCTCAAAAGTTATTAGATTGGGAATTGAGGCTCAAAGAAAGGCATTGACAGAAACCTCTTGTATTTGTTTAAAACCAGGCTAAGAAAATACCACAGGTAATATACTAAAGATATTTGGCACTCTGATTGTAATCTTAGTAAATTTTCTGCTTCAACAAAATTAATCCCAAATTCTAGAAATCTGTTGATCCAAACTATTATCGAGATTTTGGCATTAAGATTGTTTTAATTTCTTTGGTAAGGCTTCTCATACAGCTACATGCTCCACCAGAACGCACTTTTTTAATTAAACTGTAATTCGAATTGACTGGATGAGACTATAGGAGAGATTTCTCAATCATGACAGAAGGGACAGGAACTAGAAAGAAGTGATAGAGTGTTACAGTTACACATGTACCTTGTGCCCAGCCCTACAGCAGTGCAGAAGATACTGGTAAGGAGCTATGTGTCCCCTCCAGTTAAGATGTGCCTCCAGTCCGTAGAGGTAACACAGTATTGACGAAAATGCATTTGGATATGTGTGTCTAAAATACATTCCTGGTTAGTCAAATCTGGGAAAACACCCGTCTCGGCAACATTTATTTAAATAAGCAGTATGTTATCTAGAGATCCTGAGCTGCCCTTAATGCAGGACATTTGCTATTTCTGCAATGGGACTTACCCAAATAAACGCAAGGGAGATGATTTTGCATTGCAATTTCTTGAGCACGTAGATGTTTCTTAACAGTGATGGGATAATAGGTACCACCTTTGACAGTTGCATCATTAGCAACAATCAAGCATTCCACCCTAAAAATAAAACAAGTTTATGAGAAAGAAAAGTATTTCTAATGAGTATTTATGTTGGTTAAGAACTCCCAAGGAATCTTGAAGTGCTGATGCTCAGAGAGAGCTCCTCTCACCTGCATTTCCACAACTGCACATTGCAATGGCAGCCACAGCACTATCATGCCCTGTTCCACAGTCCCTTAACTCCCCAAAACAATGCCATGTAGCACCATAATTAATTTCAAGAATAGTCCTGAAGGCACTTTGAGTAAGCAAAACTAATCCTTAGGCCAAAATATCACCCTATTTTTTTTTATACTGATGCACTAATCTATTTCTTTCATTGGACATCAGAAACTCCATGTCTGCTCTGTTTTAATACAGGGATACACTAACTAAAAAAAAAGAATTAAAAAACCCCACTTCCTTTTAGCTAAGACTAAACAAATTGAGATATCAACTTGATTTTTTGAGTGTCAGACACAAAACACTAAAAATGCTAACAGCTTAATACTGGAAACTGAATAAACTATACCTTCTTCCTTTACATATCACTAGGATTCAGATAACTGGAAACTCTCACCCAGATACTCGTCCAATGCCTGTGATAATCCCTCCTGCCGGTACCTCTTCATTACCATACAACTGGTAACCAGCAAACTGAGAGAACTCCAGGAATGGAGATCTGAATAATGAAAAATGTAAAAACAATGTTAATAACTAATTTGCTATATTTGTCATGGAATCTAGCTTAAAATGTTAATTTTTTTCAAATAAGCACTTTTTTTTAAAATTTTAAAAAAGAGATGAGTATTTCAAAGAACACTTCTGTAAATTTCCAGAGGTGTTACTTGCCAGTGTTTATGGAAGCTAAAGAGAAAAGAAGCCTGCTGCAGTATTCGCCTGTAAAAGAAAACTTGAAGTATTTGTTAAAAACAGGAAATACCTACCCAGGATCAATAAGCTTGTCGATTCTCTCTCTGGGTAACAGCTTTCCTCTTGATGTGTGAAGCTTACGAGCTTTTTCTCCACCTCCTGTGATACAACAGTAAATTGAAACATTTTCTATGGACACAGACAGATAAATCACCACTTATATTAAAACTTAGAATGAAAGTGCTGACAAGTGCCCAGTTTTTGAAGTATGTGCCTTAATAATGAATTTAATAAATAATGGTTCCCACTTCAAACAGATTTAAGGTATTGATAAAAATGCTTTCTTTCTAGAATCTACTCTATTTCCCTCCTCAGTTTTTATAGTTAGCCCTGAGGTAAAGATTTTAATAAACACAGTTGTCTGAAACTTCCCCACTGCTTGGCAATAAGCAGAAGGGCAGAAAACACACATAGACAAAAGCATAGCAGTAGAACTACAGAAAATACTACTGCCTAGAACTGATTAAAAATAGCCATGCTGAATCCAATCTTGAATGACCCAATAGAGTCTGGATTAATTTCTTTAGATGACACCAGAACTGTAAGCAGAGTTCAGACACATAGCATTCAATATCAAGTTTATATTTGTTTCATTTCAACCCTTCACTCAAAGTCATCCTAAATCCTATCTTTTGCTCTCTAGAGCTTTGTGTCATTCAATACTTCAGATTTGTTGACATACCATAGCCTCTTTATAACAACAGTTTATATAAACATTGTCTCTCTGTGTAGACAGATCACTGATCCACCTCATCACTCTAAAACTGTCTCCTTGTCCAAAGTAAAGAAGGTGCTATTTTGCTAACATTTCTCCTGAAACTCCAGGATTTCTCTGTCAGCTAGGCATCACTAAACAGAGCTTTTAAGCCTACCTTACAAGTCCTTTCTCCCACCTCCTTCCTTAATCACTACACACATCATTTCCTACCTGTTAGGCATGCCAGAAAGCCCACAATTTATTTATGATACAGTATGTTCATCAGGTTTGTATATCTAGCCTAAATCTAAAGCTTTTAAGTTCTGTCTGTACAGGTTTGTTAAAATACAAGCACTCGTGTCCATCCACAAAGCTACTACTCTCATCCAGGTTAACATCCTACATCGTAACTATATTTTCTCTGACCTCCATCTTGCCTTTCTCATTTACACTAAGCAATGCTGGAAAAATAATTTTCATCCTGTGACTTTTGTCACCTCCTTCTCTTCACGGTAATCATAAATGCTTTGCTCTCCAGGCCCTGTAGCCATTTTACTGAACATTCCTCTTTCAACATCAAAACGCTGTTCTGTAGACTGAGAAGCAGTGCCCTTGACAGTGAAACAAACTTGGAGGCATTTAATTTGAAATCTCTCCTTTAACTTCTCCTTTACAAAAATGTCTGTACCATTGTGATTGCTGAGGTGCTATGATTGGTCACAGAGACTGAATGTACGACCACTGACTCTTGAGTTTCCTATCAGAAAACCATCTGTAATTCATCACAGCCTGGAAACTCTTTGGAGCAGGGACCATATTCCTGGCCCACAGTTGGTGATTACTTAGGATGGGATTTGGGTTCACAAAAGCACTACCCACTGAAGTAACAAGTGACAAATGAAGTATTTGTTACTGTCCCAGTTCCAGCCAGGACAGGGTTAACTGCTGCAGTTTCTCCTGAGTGACCATGGAGAGGACATGAAGTAGTGGGATGGAAAACCCACCTCCGTCCTAGCACCATGGGTACCTGAAAGGAAGAACAATCCCTGCAGGAAATTTGTCAAGGATAAGTGCCACGCCAGTTTCCAGTGGGCAAATCCTCAGACAGAACAGAAGGGCTGATGATACTTACGATCTTGAAGGGACCTCCAGTTCATATTTACAAGCAGTGAGTAACGTGTGCCATGGCCAGGACTAGAGGGGCCTCAGCCAGGTGGAGGAAAGTGACAACTGGATCCATTGGACTGTGTGGATTTGAGGGCACATTAGACCCACAAGAGTTCAAGGCTTTAGCTGACACTGATGCACAATGTACCCAGATGCCATCAAGTTACAGTGGGGCAAAATCTGCCTGTATTTCTGGGGTAACAGGGTGATCCCAACAGTTGACTGTACTAAAAGCTGAAGAGAGCCTGACCGGGAACGAATGGCAAAATCACCCCATTGTGACTAGCCCAGAGGCCTCACGCATCCTCGGCACAGATTATCTCAGGAGAGGGTGTTTCAAGGACCCAGAAGGGCATTTTTGGGCTTTTGGGATAGCTGCTGTGGAGACAGAGGAAATTAAACAGCTGAATACCTTGTCCGGTCTCTCAGAGAACCCTTCTGCTGTGGGACTGCTGAGGGTTGAAGAACAGGTCCAGATAGCTACCACAACAGTGCACCATTGGCAGTACTGCACCAGCTGAGACTCCCTAAGATGATCTGTGACCTGGAGAGCCAGGGAGTGGTCAGCAACACTCCCTCACCCTTTAGGAATCCTATATGGCAAGTGTGTAAGTCCAATGGAGAGCGGAAACTGATAGTAGACTGTTGTGGCCTGAACGAAGTCACACCAGCTCTGAGTGCTGCTGTTCCAGACATGTCGGAACTTCAGTATGAACTGGAGTCAAAGGCAAAGTGGTGTCACCACTGACACTGCCAATGCATCTTTCTCCATTCCTTTGGCAGCAGAGTGCAAACCACAGTTTGCTTTCACCTGGCAGTGCATCCAGTACACCTGGAACCAACTGCCCCAGAGGTGGAAACAGAGCCTCACTATTTGCCATGGTCTGATCCAGACTGCACTGGAAAAGGGTGAGGTTCCAGAACACCTGCGGTACATTGATGACACCTTTGTGTGGGGCAACATGGGAGAGGAAACAGCTTATGAAAAGATAAACCAGTATCATGATAGTCACAAGAAGGGGAGAATTAAAGCTGCATGCTCAACCTGTGGCAGCATAGTTAAGCATTTTCCTTTGAAAACATTTTCTTTTTGTTGCCCCCATTAATCATAGTCAACTGCAATTCACTCAGGTAGTCTTATAAGCCAGAAAGATGAAACACAGATTTCAATCTTTTAAACTACTACGGACTTGCTTCTGTTTGCCAGCACAACCACAGCTAGCAACTTTGAAAAGGCCCTGCTATAAAAGACAATAGAAAATGTTTCTATAAATACATCACCAACAAAAGGAGGGCAAAGGAGAATCCCCATTCTTTGTTGGATGCAGGAGGAAACACAGGGACAAAGAATGAGACAAGGCAGAGAAACTTAATGCCTTCTTTGTCTTAAACAGACCAGTTGTTCTCTGGATATCCAGCCCACCGAGTTGGAAGACAGGGGCAGAGAGCAAATGAAAGCCTCCATAATCCTAGGTGAACTCATTAGCAAACTGCTTCAGCACTGAGACATGCACAAGTTTATGGGGGCAGATGGGATCCAGCCAAGGGCACGGAGGGAACAGGCAGAAGAGCTCACCGAGGCACTTTCCATCAGTTACCAGCACTCCTGGCTAACCAGAGAGGTTCCAGTTGATTGGGGGTTAGCCAATGTGACAACTTACCAGGAAGAAGGGCTGGAGGGAGAATCCAGAGAACTACAGGACTGTCAGACTAACCTCAGTGCTGGGCTAGATCATGGAGTGATCATCTTGAGTGCCATCATGAACCACGTACAGGACAACCAGGGGATCAGACCGAGCCAGCATGGGTTTAGGAAAGTCAGGTCCTGCATGACTAACCTGATCTCCTTCTATGACAGAGTAAGCCACTTCATGGATGATGGAAAGGCTTTGGATGTTAACTCTACTAACTTTAGCAAAGCCCTTGACACTGTCTCCCACAGTATTCTCCTGGAGAAACTGGCTGGATGCCATGAACATCCATGGATGTGTGCACTGCTCAGTGAGTAAAAAACTGGCTGGATGTCCAAGCCCAAATAGTGGTGGTGAACAGAGTTACATCCAGCTGGTGGCCAGTCACAAGGGGTGTTCTCCAGGGCTCAGTATTGGGCACAGTCATGTTTAAAACATTTACCAACAATCTGGACGAGGGGATCAAGTGTACCCTTAGTAAATTCACAAACACCAGGTTGAGAGGGACTGTAGATCTACTGGAGGGCAAGAAGGTTCTACAGAGGGATCTGAACAGACTGGATCGATGGGCTGAGGGCAACTCTGTGAGGTTCAGCAACACCAAGTGCCAAGTCCTGTCCTTGGGTCATACCAAACCCACACAACACTACAGGCTGGGAAGAGGGGCTGGAAAGCTACCTGGCAGAAAAGGATCTGAGGCTACTGGTCAACAGTGAGCCAGCAGTGAGTCCAGGTGGCCAAAAAGACCAATGTTATCCTGACTTGTATCAGCAGTAATGTGGCCAACAGGACTAAGGCAGTGATCATCCCTGTGTACTGGACACTGGTAAGGCTACACCTCAAGTACTGTGTTCTGTTTCGGGCCCTTAATGACAAGAAAGAGCTATAATCCAGAAAGTATGTTGTATCTGAATGAAGTGATTAATGAATGGCAGCTATAAGGGGAAAAATTACAAAAAACAAAACTGCTTTTTATACGAAATGCAACAAGTTTGGATTTTTTATTCTAAAATCTAGACTACCATACTTACCTAATCTGATTTTTTCTGCTTGTTCTTGTAGTTCAGTTACCAGTGCTTTCATTCGTTCATAGTTTTCCTAAGTGGGGAACAAGCAGCATTTTAAGTTAACCAAGAGCGACAGTATTAATTTTCAATAAACAAACAGAAAGTACAAGACTAATTTATTTTCCAAATCTAATTTTACTTTATTAAATACTGTCCCTGTACTGTCTTTAAAAAAATAACATTTCTACATATGTATTGGCTTTCCGTAAGCATCCCAAAGCATTTAATAAACTGGTTTCACAAAAATTCCAAATGCGTTAGTATAGCAAAACACTAGTTCTGAATTTAATAAACTAGGATAGAACTAGTAATTGCAAAGCTGAAGTGTTGTTTCTCTGATTTTGTTAATTTTTTTAATAGGTCTGCTTCCTTCTAAATTTAATTCTGTAGAAAACATGGATTCAAATTAAGTGCTCTTATGCCTCATGTACCAAAAGACAAGTTTACCAAAAGAATTTGGTAAACACTTTTTAGGTTTTTGTTGTTAGGTCTTTTTAAAAATCTGGTCTTCTTGCCAATATCCTTCTTAGGAAAACAAAGATTCATAGTTTTGAATATGCTTGATACAGTACCGAGCAACCCATTTCTATCAGAATTATCCAAAACTCGGTGTGCTCATTACAGCAGGTTTGGGGTTTTTTTCCATTTCTTATGAATTTAAAGGTATTAGTCAGGCATAATTTGTTGGATTTTTTTTCCAGACATATTAAGAACTACCTTTTTTAAAAGTCTAACTGCAATAAAAGACATGCTGCACAAAAAGATCATATTACCTTGTCTAATTCTCATTTAGGTGATGTTTGAGTCTAATTTGGCAGAAAAAACCACCTGCTGACTACTTAGACTCATATATACTTGAATATTCAGACTTAAGGTCTCCCCTAGAAGAGGCAACAGTAGCAGCTGAGTTTGTCCAACTCTGTCTTAGGCACAGAAAAGAATCAAGATGCAAAGCAGAAATAAAATAAAAACACATACAGAGGCCCCTCAATTCCACCTGTTTGAGCTGCACAGTGACTTTCAAAAGAACACATTTCTCTTCCTTTGCAATCGCTACAGATAGATTAAAAATACTCTGTTTAAAGGTAAAATCATACATGGTGAAAACAAGTCTGAGCTATTTTTGCAGCTCACATACACAGCTCCTACGTAAGGTCAATACTTAGAGGTCATCCAGCAATATCAAGGTAACATACTGAAACTCTTGTGCCTCTGTTGGCTCTTGGAAGAGGAATCCTGAGTACAAATGAGCTGCCATCTGTGACATGGTTTACAGCCTGCACTTATAAGAATTTTGCACCACCTAGTCACCAGCCAACAACTGGTATCGCAAGATATCAACCTCAGTTAACAAAGTCTCTCTGATGTGTGGTGCCACCCTGCAGCCCTGACTGCTGAGGACACAGTAGGTTACCAGCCTCCTGCATCTCATCCTTCCCTACATCCTTTTAAGGCTTTATCACTATGTCCATCAGATTATTCTCCTTTCAATCTATTTCTTATAACAGCTTAAGCCTCCCTCTCCCTGCCCATGCACTGCACAGCTCCAAAACCTACCTCAACAACTGGTTTCCTTCCTGCTAACCTGTGAAATCACACTGCAATAACCTACAGGCAGTTTTATCACCATCACGGAATCCAAAAAACCCACCAACAAAACAAGCCACGCCTTGGTAGCTTGACTGTGCTGCTCCTAGAAGAGACTATGGACAGTAACTGTGGCCACAAAAAGACAGGAAGCACTGAATAAAATAAAACCTACTTTTATGCCTTTCCAAAAGACACTGTTTACAAGTTTTTCTCCCCCGTGAAAAATCTGTAAATCAGCTATTGTAATTCCACACCTGTAAAAATAAGCAGTTGTCACAACACACAGTTTTATTCTGCATCAGTGTTCAGCTTGTCTGGCTGGGTCATTCCACAGCAAGATTTTCCCTCTTTCTCCTGTTTCAATCAGCCTGTCTTCTCTAAATACACTCACCTTTTGCACACAGTACCAAGCTTAAAAACTCATCTTTAACATTGGGGGGGGAAAAAGCAGCTAAAAAGGCAGAGGAAATTAAAATAGGAACAGCAATGACAATCATAGGTTCCATTATTAAGATTCTAAATTAACAACTCAATGTAGCTACTTTAGCTACTGTGCATGAAAAATTGTGAAAGGATTTTTTAGATAATCTATAAAAAATATTGTACACAAACATATGAGTTGCTTAAATGCATTTAATTTATATCATGATCTTTCACGCCATTAATCAGAACACAACATCATCATACTTTACCAAAGAGAAGTAAAGATATTTTGACATCATTTTGAGTAAGCATGGAGAGGACTCCACTCAGAACCAAATGTGTCAGTTTCCATTATGTGTGTGGGCTCTTTGTTATTGTAATCAATTAATGACAAAAAGGCAGTGAAGTGGCACTAAGTTTTTTCTGGAAACTGGCCCTTGCATGAGCAAGTTCTGGAAAATTCTGCTGTTAATATGAGGGTCTTAACAAATTTTAAAGCAAAATCAAGAGGCAAAACCTACAGACTAATCCTGCAGTTACTGCACAAGCTAAATACACTAGCAAAGTAGCTGCAAGAGCTCATCCTTGGAATCTTTAAATAGACTTTCCTTTGTTTTCCAGAATTTAGACTCACTCACTTTTAAATTACCTTTTTACCTATCTGGTTTGAAAGGCAGTTTACATTGTGAAGCCCAGCCTGTCTAGCTGAATTCACAGCCAGAAAGGCAAACATTGGCTAAAGAAGGCAAGACCTTCATCACGTATCATGATGTCTTCTTGTGTTTGCACTGTTATTCCCCATATTACTTTTATTTCAGATGGTTAACTGTCTCACAGCAGGGACCTCATATATTTGTGTTTGTAAAGCACTACTTGCACTTTCAGTGTTCTAGAAATTACTTCTGCCAAATACTAACAGTATTAGCTATTTTACCAAGCCTTGCTTTTCTTCTGAGGTTGAAAGGTACACAGACACAAATGCAAGCCTAGTGACAGCTTAGGTAAGTAAACACCTTTATCAAAATACTACTTTTCTTGTATGCAGAATATGAATATACATAGCTATACATATACATAGAGTTCCTACACACAAGCTTTGTATGTGTATACATGCATTATATGTATATACTGAAATTTCACAGATGTTTCAGTCACCTAACTTGTGTCCCAAATCTAGTTTTCTGCAAAACAAAACACAGAGCCAAACATAGAACCAAAGGATGGATTTCAGTAAGAATACATGTTGGCAGTTCCCCTGCGGTTTGATATTTTACTTGGAAGAAATATGAGGACAAATGCATGGCCTCCATCAATGCTGATCCACACCTAAAGCCACGTTTTTCTCAGCCTAACTGTAAACATGATTTTTATTTTGACTATATCGATATGCCTTCAAAAATAAGCTGATTTATACCGGATACTAATAATGTTCTCCTTGTAAAGACAACTGGAACACCTATCCTTCCTCCTCAAAACATTTTTTTCCTGTTGCTATTTCGCTTTTAGGAGGCATATCCATGACTCTGTAGAGCTAGCCAAACTGTTTTCAACTCGGGAATCATTTTGCAAACGCAAGGAGGCAGTACCCAGCTTCAAAATCATCTCCCTCTGCCTGCCTAGAGCACAGTATCGACCAGCTCAAAATGCAGCAGGAGTTGGCATTCTGATCAAAACATTCAGGCGGAAGAAAACCCATGATGAGGCGGACGACTGTACAACACACATCCCTCTCGTGCGGTTTACGCGCACACCGAAGAGGGCTCGGGAGCGGGACGC